TCCAGGCTCTATTACTGTATCTGTATTAATTTGGCCAAGTTACACATATCCTTTCAAGCCTCAATTTTATGATCTGACAAACAAAAAACAGTGGCATTTTCCTCACAATATTGTGAATATGACATATAATAATTGCTTAATAAACGACAAGTACTTTATTAATAATTTCAAGTAGGACTTGTGACTTTTCTGCACATTTCCGTGTCTTTTTTGGCTTCTCATGGGAGTTACTTCACACCCAGTTCTACCCTTCCCAGTCACATAATCTTGGGACCACATCGTCTACATTACTGAGGAGTGACAAGCTATCATTCAGCATTTACTGAGAACCTACTATGTGCCAGGAACTGTTTTTTTTTGTTTTTGTTTTTGTTTTTTTGCACTGAGTCTGTAGTGTTGAGTCAGACAGACGAAGTCACCACTCTGTTGAAGCTTATAGTCTATTTCCTCAACTTCTGTGTTTTACATTTCAAACTTTTAAATTTATCTTTACTTCCCTTTTCTGCCTTAATTTGTCCTTATTCTTTTCCAAGACTAACTTTAATTGTCTTCTTATTTAGTTACCCTAGAATTTTTTTCCAACACCTGCGTCTTGACCTACTGTGACTCCAGTATCTGTCTTCACTAGATCGTCTTTTTCTTTGCATAAAGTTTTCTCCCATGTTTTTAAAAAGAGAAACATAAACAAACCTCAGGTGAACATGCTTATTGCTTTCTCTTTTCTTCCTCTGTTTCCATTGTTCTTCAGTCTGGGTTTTGCACCAGGTCTGTTTAAATAGCTCTTTCTTAACCATGACCTACTTTGGCTTTCTCATGGCTGTTTTTTTTCATTGAAAACTGAAGCACCTATTCTTAAAACGTGTCTTCTGTGATACTACTTACACCCAGTTCTTTTATTTTTTTAATCACAGTGTGCCATCCTTTGATCTTAATTTTTGTTTCATTGATTTTCTCAGCAGTTTTTATTGAGTGCCTATTAAGGGCACTTAAGTGCAGGTCATACAGAATCTGTAGAGAGATTGTTCTCTATCTCTTTCACTGAAACCTCAGCGCTTTTCTCTTGGCAATCTCAGCCCCTACAAATCCCAATTTCTGTCTTCAATCATAATCGTCTGCTGAATTTCATTCCTGTGGTCACATTTGCTGTCTGGTTCCTCAAGTCCCCTCCTTGCTTCTCAAACTCCACCGCTTTCCAATGGGTGCTGCCACATTCACCTAACACTTTCTTTTAAACTCTGCATATCTGCTAATATCATCTTCCAGTCACTGAGGCTTTAAGATTTAAAATAATTTTTGTTCTGCCTGTTAAGCCTATCTCTGGTTTTCACCCTCACCGTCACCGTTTGCTTCTGGTTATTTTACTTCTTTCTTGGAGTATCATAGATAAGTCCTGACTTTTTTAACCAACTTTTCAAAAATCCTTCCTGATCCTCTAACAAAGTTCCGATTGTTTAGCCCTGGTATTCAGTCTTCTAACAACGCTTCAATCATACAGTCCATTGAATCATCTGTCACCTCGTTATAAGCCCTTTGTCCTTTAGCATTTCCTTCCACACTTGTGTTTTTCACTTTCGTATCTGCATGGCATTCCCCAAGGGCTGTTCCTGCCACACCGTGCACACACGCTCTGTCTACCTTTGCTCGCGGAACCCCATCCATCCTTCAAGGTCCAGCACAAGTGACACTTCTTTGCATCCTCTTTATCCTTCACCCCTCCAGATAAAATAACCTCTCCCTCTTCTGAAACACAGTAGAGTATTTTATTCCTTTTGTCATTCATCTTATACTACGTTGCATCTTCTCATCTCACTTAGGAAGGTTTGAGGTCCTTGAGGATAGAGACTTGTGGCATTCCTATGTATGTTTTGCAGGATACTGAGCACACCACCTTACTCAATTAGCATATGTTAAAGGAATAAATCAGTTGGGAAGAGCTTCCTGTCTTCAGAAGTGATTACTTACCACCAAAGCACACTGATACGCTAAAGTAATAAACTGTCTATCCTGGCTGAGTAGTCTTCAAGAATACAAAGTAATTGCTCAGTGTGTGCAACTAATTTCTCTTTCTCATCCAGTTATTATGTTGAGGGAACACCTTTCTGATCCAGGCACAGGGAACAGGGGTACCAAGTCGTAAGGACACAGTGCTTTCTCTGGAGATGTTTACTGTCTTTGAGACTGACATGCATGCAAAGGATTGCATGTAAAATAAAAATAATTTTAGCTGGCAGCTTATATGAAAAGGATATTCCAAATAGAAAAATTACTATATGACTAATGAGTTTATAAGCATACTTTTGTAGAATATTCTTTATGAAATCTTTAAAAAATCAGTCAGTAGTTTCCATCCAAATGTCTCCTTGAATCTTAGTATAGCAAATATGGTGATGGTTCTCTTGAGTTAGTCTCAAAATTATACAAATCTTGCAGAAATAGTATATTTATTTCCATAAAGCTGCTTAGGCTGTCTAACATCCAGTTTGTTTGAATGGGGCTGGAATTTTGAATCACAAGTGAGTATAAGTTATAATATTGTAAATAATATTTACTTTGGTGAAAAATGTTTTAAAGATACAGTGAAAGGGGATTCAGTGTTTTGTTTCTGAAAACAGTTTACTGTTTTTCCTACATTAAGGGTTGTGATCTTTGTTATAACCCATATATAGTAGGTGCTTAGTATATGTTGGCTGCATGATGATACTTAGGGATTTATGAAATTCTGTGAAATGGGAATATTTTTTATTGAAGTATAGTCAGTTACAATGTGTTAATTTTGGTATACAGTACAGTGTCCCCAGTCATGCATATGTATACATAGATTCATTTTCATATTCTTTTTCATGAAACAGGGATTTTTAAAATTGATCTTTGGAAAGAAATGGCTAGTTAAAAATAGCAGAATATATGCTTCTATGGAGAGCTTAAAATGTTCAAGTCAGCAAAACAGACATATTTTCCAAAATTTAATTAAATTATACAATATAATAATAATAATGAGTACAGTGATGTTTTATAACTTTTAAATATTGGTTATATTTCTAGGTTTTATTTCCTGTTGGTACTCTGCTCCAGCTCAACCCAGACAGGAAAACGGGTACATTCTTTATTAGGAAGGACTCCTTTGCCATTAGCCCATGCTAAATTGATGGTTTTTATAGCCCGACAAGAGACCAAGTCTTCATTACCTGGAGGGAAACACTTAAATCATCTGAAGATGGCTATTCTGTTCTGAAGGAAAGTTTGAGTTGACTGCAGGAGATTCTGTCTCCCTCCGTAGGTGGCAAGGGTTAGTTTTTCTGCAGAACTGACAGTTTCCACCCTCAGGGTAGGTAGATTAGATTGGGAAATGCATAGGAGGGGAGCTTGTCGAGGAAATTCAAGGAGCAGAGTTGATAAGTTCTAAAGGGAATTCTAACCTGGTCCCCAGATTGAATCATAAAGGCTTATATTTTATGGATTTATACTAGTGTGCAGAAGATAAAGAGTAAGAAGCAAAAAGAAAGAGCAAAGAGTAGAAGGGGTAGGAGAAAAATAAATCAGAAGAGGCATACAGCTCTGTGGCTTGCCAGCCTCATCATTTGTTGAGCTGTGACTAAAATACCCATTTTGGGAGTGACAGTGGTGATGACTGAGATGTTTTGAGACGTTTCTTTAATGGTGATTCATGGAACCTGAGTACTGTATTGCATTAAAATTCCAGAATTACAGGAAATGATTCTGGTAACAAACAATGGAAATTCATTCTTGCCTCTCTGCTCTGGCTGCCTCAGTCCAGCCGCAGGCAGGATGGGTCTCTATGTGATTCTTATGATTCTCTTATAAAAAAGAGATACCTAGTAAGAAATAGTTATTGATGAATAAGAATTTGGATGAAGTCGGATACGCAGTCATAAGGGGATTTTTTTTCCCTCCTTAAAACCAGGCTATCATTTATATTTAAACTTTTGCTGCCTGTATCCACTGCTTCATAAAACAATTCGGTGCAGATTGAAATATCTCCTTGAAGGCTTATTCACATTTTACATACAGATTTGTGATCACCCAGGCTTAACCATCATTTCTTGAAGTGTTTCATATTGATTACATGTCAACCTTTTTGCACTGGTCTTGTCCTGCAATGTAATAATCATTCTCCAAGTGAGATAGACTCTTAAGTTAGTCTTTTCTTCTGTTACTTTAAATATTTATATCAACTACATATTTGTTCTACTTGTCTATGGATATACACAAGGTTCTAAAGGGAAAAAAATACAAGAAGTAAAAATAATTAACTTGTATAATACTGACAGTTAATACTTCTATCATGGTTCCTATTTTCCAAACCCAGTTTGAACTGCCTTATATATAGTAATTTATTTAAATTTCAGAACAATCATATTAAATTAGGACTATTATTGCCTATATTTTACAAGTAAGAAAAGTGAGGAACAGAAGGGTTAAATAGTTTTCCTGAGTAAACCTGGAGAGTACGTGCCAGAGCCTGGATTTGAACTCCAGCAGTGTGACTGCCTGGCACTCCCTACTCTCCACATCTAGGGGTAAATTATTCTTATTTGAGCCAGGAGTAGAGTAAGTAGCTATGTTACTTCAAAACTGTGTTTTAATACGATTATTTATTAACATGAGTATCCCGCCCTTACTAGATTATGAACTTGTGAGTACAAGAATCATGTTTTATTAATTTTGCCATAAAGAATGCCCAATAAAATTTGTATTATTCCCGAATTACAGCTTATTATGGCCCTGAGATATTTAGTCCAAGAGCCTTCTATTTTGAAGTCGTTGGTTTTAGATCCACAAAACAAACCAAAAAATGCAGTTGTTACCTGTAAGTGAAGTATTGTTTTCATAGTTCTCTTATTTTTTTAACTATTTTTAAGAATAAAATTGCATGAAAGAAGCAGACTATTTTTGATTGATATAGAATCATTTTAGAATTATGTTACTTGGTTGAAATTTTTCCTTTTCTTTTCTTTTTAAAAAACTACTCTTTCCTACAGGGCGCTGCTTTAATTAGAATGCTGGCTAATTTTATGGGCCATTCAGTGTTTCAGAGGGGTTTGCAAGTAAGTAAAATGCTTTTCTATTTTCTCTTATATTTTTTCTTGTTCCTATGTTTATTTTAAAGATATTTCACAGCTTGGGAAAATGCCAGTATAAAATTACTGAATTTGATGGAAAACTTTAAGATGAGGAAGGTAAGCC